GCAGGCAGGCACACAGAGTGGAGGCGGAGAGAGAGAGAGAGGGAGAGAGGGAGGACGGGTGAGGCGAGGGGGGACACCAGGAAGGAGGGAGGATGTCTTTGTTCAGAGTGTTGATCATGAACAAGACAGATAGCAGAGGGTGTGTGTGTCTGCACGAGTGTGAGCGTACAAGTGAGTGTATGTTTTTAATGCCACAGTGTGTGAGAGTGTGTGTGAGTGTGTGTGTGAGACTGCAAAGCAAGATGTCAGGACATGTAACCAGCCATGTAACAATTTAAAATCAATTTGCCTCCCAAGAAGGAATTGCTCTGCGAGACATTTTTCCCTCCGAGCATTCTGCAGGACTTTCATTCTATCTAAATAGATATCAATTACATAATCGCTTTTCTTCTCTCTGCCCGGCTGCCGGCTGCAAACTTTGTCACACCGAGCGAGCTGCGGCGTAATTGTCCCGCACGTAATGTTTTGTGATTGCTTGTGACATTTGCAGTGTCATTGATCAAACAGGGCGCAGTTATAATGAAGACACAAAAAGCTCTGACGGAGGCGAGGAGGGGTTGGCGGCGGCGGCGGCGATGGCGGTGGCGTCGGCGGCGGAGGGGGTCTCACACTTCTGGTGAATTGTGTCAACTGAGGCAACAGTTTCGTGTTGGAAACCACCTCTTTTTCCCTCCAAACTTGAGTCCCAAGTCACATCCAAAAAAAAAAAGCGGTTTTCTCTCATTAATCGATTGGTGACGGATGAAAGTCTGCGCCTCGCCGCCATTCATCAAAAATTCAAAAAGGAGGGGTGGTGGTGGTGGGGGGTAAAAAAGTAACTGGAAGTCTTAACTGGTGATAATCTGAGCGCTGAAAGTTTTCCAGCTTCTCTCATTTAAAAAACACACCCTGGTGTCTTTACCTTGTTCCAACCCCACTGGGTAACGGCACACTCATTGTGTTTTCCTCAACTTGTTAAAACACCACATGGTACATTTGCATAGGATAACCAACATATAGCGAATCATTTGCATGCCTGAAAGTGCACTTGAGTAACCGTAATTACACGTGACACCAATTACTCTGTTACTTTGTATTAAATTATAATGGAAAATTCCACTAGAGAATTGGAGCCTAATTGCATCTTAATTTGCATAATTTTGCATATTAATCACATCTCAGATGAATAATAAATTTCAGCCGATTTTTTAATTTATGCATAGATACAAAAACAAGTTGAAAAATAATTTGTGAGTGAAAAAAAAAAAAAAATCAGGAACTATTACTTAGAGCATTTGTGCTAATTTCTCTCATTACCCGACGTTCAAGTCAAAGATGTCTGTGCTCTTGATCAACAAGCGCCGCATTTTGAAACTGAGAGTTTGTCAAAGCCTCAGCAGAGAAAAGAAAAAGAAGAAAGAGAGACGGAGGAACAAATGTTGGAAGAATCCATGCATCGCTTGTTTTTTTTTTTTTTACATAAAACTTTGTGGCTCTATTTAAAGCTCTTTCCACCAAATGCATTCTACGATGATAATTCAAATCACTTTCTGCTTTTCCCTTTTCTTTCTTTCTCTCTCTTTTTTTTTTTTTCTTTTTTCCTGGTCAACACCTGTGCCTGCTATTGTGTGTGGCTCCCTGCCAAGCACACACAAAATCCAATACCTGTAGCCCAGATTAAATTCAAATTTACAAAAACAACATATTTCCAGATTTAACGCGCTATCTTTTCCAGCATAAAGTTGACCGAGTTGTTCCACAAACCTGATAATGAAGAAAGACAAAACTGCAGCACTAAAATAAAAAAAAAAAAAAAAGTTGGAACCAGAGCACACCTGTAAAAATATCTGAATCTTTTTCTATATTCTATTTTGCTATACGTTACCAGGCTGCTGGTCTTGTTGGTACCAGTTGGCACAGGTTGCATGTGTTTTTGGGTCGAGGCCAGTTTTTCTTTTCCGATTCAACCTTCAATAATTTACACACACACAAAAAAATGAAAGAAATAAAGAGAAGATGCATCCAACACTCCCTCCAGACACTCTCCTCGTACTGAGCTGTAACGTGAGATTTCAGACACTTATAAATCATTGCCATTATGACTGTAATTTTTGCATCTGCACCACAGACACCATTTCTTTTTTTTTTTTCCTTTCTGTTCCACTGTGGGAATTTTTGAGGGCGCTATACGTTGGATAAATCACAGAATATAGACGCAGACAGTAAATATAGTGCACTACATATGCAGGTATTTTAGACAGTGGTAATTTTGTGAAGCCGAAATATGATTCTGCTGTTTTTTAATCCTCTTATTTGCTTTTATTTTGCTCTCTGCCCCCTTAGCGGAGTCCCACTTTCCAGGTTGGCAGCCGCCGTGTTAACACGAGAGGAGTTTAACCTCTTATTCCTACGTGAGCAGCAAAGCCACTGTGTCATTTGTATTCATTTGGTGACACGGAAACCTCGCCTTACAGCTGTGATTTCATCCAGAAAACACTAAATTATATATTTCCAGGATTCACAATGAAGTCGTCTCGTCGCCGCTGATAAACCGGGCTCCATATTTAATCTCTGCCCCACCGGTGACCTGCCTCACACACTCGGGAGGTTTGTTCAGCACGACATCTTCATCTCCGTCAGCGGGTGTTAACCGGCAGCTCAGCCGTGGACAACAGTGCCTTTCAGTGGCATAAGAGAGGAAAGGACTCGGCGGAGGAGCAGGCTGCAGCTCTCACACACCTTCTGCCTGATGCTAGGTGGCATTAACAGGAGTGTCTAATGTCACAACTGGAGCGAGAAGGGGGGTTTAGATAGAGGCAGGAAGCAGAGAAATAACACCAGGAGCAGGATAAATACGGAGATCTGCCATAATCATGTGTAGGAAAAATAGAAATGTCCTTCATTTTATCTTGATAGAGCTAAATGGATGTACCTACAGACAGTCAGATGTGAAGATCCAGACTCAAAAAGCAAGAAACAAGTGAATTAAATCAAACTATGAGTGAGTTTGGCTCTGTGAACTTCAGTAGGAGGTTTGTGTGCGTGTTACGACTGTGCATGACTCTTTATCTGCACTTAAATGCACCAAAAAAAGCTGTTTCACTAAAACTAAAAACAAACAAACTTGGTAGGAATCTGGTTTAGTGTAAATGTGTGAGGGAACAGCACTGCAGAGCAGCGTGGAGGAGCCTGTAAGAACTTTAGAGAATAAACTCTTCTATCCACACTTTAAGAGCCACATTGTGTATTTACGGTCCTGTAACAAGCAGCAGCAGCTCTTCTTCACTCTCTGTGTGTGTTTGTGTGCAGATTCTCCAACTACTAATGCCATCCAGCGCCGAGTCGTTAATATTCTGCTCCATTCGACTCGCAGATGTAAAAAGCATTCTCAGCTGACACATATAATTACTATGATACGTACCGGAAAGGTTCCCGTGTCTGCGCGCAATTTCAAATAACCAAGTGCTGTGCGGCTAATTATTGATAAATAAAATTAGTTGGGAGAACTTCAGGTGGGCGGGGCCGCGCGCAGGTGTCTGCCGCGTGCGAGCGAGGGGCGTGTGCGCGCGCAAGAGGGGGAAAAAAAGAGAGCGAGAGAGAAAGAGAGAGAAAGAGAGAGAGAGAGAGAGAGAGAGAGAGAGAGATGGGAAATCGGCGCTGACCTGCAATCACCGAGAACAGCGGGGACTTAATGATGTTTTGGTCTGCTGATCAAATTTCACATTTTCGCACAATCATTTTGGGCACCTGCGCAGAAAAACAAAGCCCGGCCTGAAGCTGCTGGCCCGTGCGAACCGCCGCCTCAGTGTGCGCGTGTCACTGTGGGCGTGCACATGTGCACAAGCTATTTTGTTGTTGTTATAACAGCCTTTTTTCTCTCTCTCTCTCTCTCTTATAATGTTCTCTTGTTATTGTTTTAATAATACACGCGCGCACAGACGCGTGTAAAGTTTTCCGGTTTCCTCCTACTTTCTAAACGCGACACACGCACACGCGGGACAGGAGGCGCATTAATGGGTATTTATCGCCCTCTGCTGGCCGCTGCAGGTAGAACCGCTCTGCTGCCTTTACGGGCACCTCGTGACTTCCAAACCTTAAACTGGACCAGTGGTGCCTCTTAGAAAGCTGGTGTTTAATCTGATCTCAGAGCAGAATGAACCAGAGACCAGACATGAAGCATGCAGTGGATCAAAATGCCAACATGTGGGACTAAATGGGTCGAATTAGGGATAAATATGCAGCTGCTGGGAAGTGTTTTGTGAAGCTAATTGGTGAGGAAAGTCATTATTACTGCTTGGAAATGGAAACAACTGCATGAAGGTACAGCCTGAATAAAATCCTGGTAGATCCATCCATCATCTCTAATCCTCACCAGGGTCATGGGGGGCTGGAGTCTATCCCAGCTGACTCAGGGTGAAGGCAGGTTCACCTGGACAGGTAACCAGTCTATCACAGGGCTACACTTAGAGACAGACAACCAAGCACACTCACATTCACACCTACGGACAATTTACAATCACCAATTAACCTCAGCATGTTTGTGGACTGTGGGAGGAAGCCGGAGAACCCGGAGAGAACCCACGCTGCACGGGGAGAACATGGAGACTCCAGATTCTGTTAGAAGGTTATCATGAATCCTTCTGTGTAGAATCTGGATCCACACGTCTCCAGCTGTTTCTGCATCTGCCTGCTGTTTCCGTTCACTATCCTCCAACAGGGACGCAGACATTAAAGCAAAATAAAATACTTTAATGAAATCCAGACAGATAAAGATGAGCTAAACAGGGCTGCGCTCCTGTAAAGTTTTTTCTTTTATCCACAGGGCCTCACTAAGTTCCCACATTTCCGCCTGCACCTGAAGGCAGCAGCCGTGTTTGCGCGTCCTGCTCACCATAGGGATTGTGGGTACAACATGGGGTGAGTTGCATAAGGTTACCAAAGGCAGCGGTGTCAATGGAGGCAGCGTCCCCGCCGCTCCGTGCTCCAGCCGCGGCCCGTACCGCCGCGTCCTCCCCGCTCTGATGCAGCGGATCTCCAGCCTCGCCGCCTGCCGGGAGCTCGCCGGCCTCGCGGCGTGCGCAGCCGGCCGCGGCGCCTGGAACAGCGGCCCGAGCTGCTGCAAGCATCCGGCCCTGCACCGGCACCGGGCGGGTGTGAGTGCGCGTCCTTTCGCCACGGAGCCGGGCCGGAGGCTGTGCAGGCGGAGGTTCGTGTTCGCCGGAGATAAACAAAGACCGTTCAGCTCGCAGTCCGGAGAGGACGGGCCGCCGGGGAGCTCCGGCCGTCAGCCCCCCGTGTCCGTGGTCGGCACCCCGGACCCGCTCACATGGATCCGGTGTAAATGCATCATGTGTCTGGTCCAACTGTACTTTGAGTTGGACATGAACTCTGAAGAGTTTGAGAAAGGAGTGAAGCAGGTAACTACAGCCAGCATGCATCAACCAGTCATAAACAGAGGTGGTGAGCTGGTACCAGAACCGGTCCTGGACCTGTCAGACTGACTCCAGCTACTAAAACAGAATTATTCATCTCACGTTATCTGGCAAATAGTCTGAAAGCTTCCAGGGATTCTTTAAATGAAACCTGGATAGTGAGGCTTTGACTTGGCTTCAGGGAGATTCATACAGAGGTCACACATGAGACAAGTGGAGGAAACCTGCAGCATGCCGGGTCAGAACACGTCACCGTGGCTCAGTCCTACCAGAGTCCACAGATCTGGTTAGAAAACAAGTTGGCCTACAGTTTGTTTACTGTCTGTTCTCTCTGATCACATGGTCTCCATCCGCCCCGTCGTCAGCGTAATGTTCAAATTAACATTTAGTTAAACTAACTTTTGGGTTCATGTGCTCGTTACAGACTCAAATGTGAACTTCTTCTAATCATCCTCTAATTGGATGACAACCACACATCCTTGGTGACCCCGGCGAGGTTTCATCCAGCACTGTCGCCGTCGTTAAAATAACAAGAAACCAGAATAAAAACAGCAATTACATTTTTTCTAACCAGTTTTGGTAATTAGGATTTCATTTACTCAAAGCATAACAGGCATTTTTGTTGATCAAATGGACCAGAATAACAGGAAAACGCATAGATTTGTGTCCTCAGGCAGCACAGACTGGTGTCTTCTCCTGTAGGTGGGCTAACGGAGGACAAGCCCTGCAGTCTGCTGATGAAGGTCACATGACATGATTGAAAACTGCTTTGTTTACTCTACGAGAAGGAAGTTGTGTGTTCTGATTTTTGCTGATTACGACTCGACTGAGGTGGTTTCCAACCTGGTTTGCATGCAGGTCGCCGCTGTTGACGCGTTAAACAAAACCCACATTTGTACTAACAGGAATTCAGTCGCTAGCATCTCTGACCGTGATTGTTATCTCGCATCCATCGCAGGCTTTGGTTTACGTCTCCAGCAAGATGTCCATCGGCAGATATCACGAGCTGGTGGGGATCGTGTCCAACGAGGTAACAGGAAATATGTATTCAAGTGAACAGGAGGCCATGTAGAACGCTTTACAGGCTGCTGTGAAAATGTAAAATAGAAAAGAATAATAAAATATAATCCACTACCACTGTCAGCTTCTGGACATCATGGTCGTCTGTTTTGTTCTTCCAGATGGTAGAATATGTTGAGACGAAGTGCAAGCCCATGACCCGCGCCCAGAGGAAGCAGCTGGCGGTCAACATGGAGGACATTCTGTTTGTGCATCCAGAAGACATCTCTGTCGTTTTTGATCAGTACGGTGAGTTTTCTGCAGATAGTTCTTTATGACTCGGGGCTACAGGTGTCTCGGTGGTTAGCACCGTTGCCTCACAGCTAGAAGGTCGCCGGTTGGCGTCCCGGTGAGGACACCCGGGATCTTCCTGCGTGGAGTCTCCATGTTCTCCCCGTGCAGCGTGGGTTCTCTCCGGGTTCTCCGGCTTCCTCCCACAGTCCACAAACATGCTGAGGTTAATTGGTGATTGTAAATTGTCCGTAGGTGTGAATGTGAGTGTGCTTGGTTGTCTGTCTCTAAGTGTAGCCCTGTGATAGACTGGTTACCTGTCCAGGTGAACCTGCCTTCACCCTTCACCTGGGATAGGCTCCGCCCCCCATGACGTCGAGATGATGGATGGATGGATTTATGACTATTTCTACTTCAAGCTCAGCTGCAGGACGGCCTCTGATTCCTACCTTTCTTCTTGCAGGTAGAAAGTTCTGCTCTGTCGCCATGAGATTCTGGCTCCTGTCTTCACATGAAGGTCCCGACGACCCAGAGGCGACAAAGATCTTCAGAGTGACTGCCGACGAAGACGCCGGCCCCAAGAAGAAACTTGCAACCGCTGTCTATGAGTAAGCGCTCGGCACATCGTCTGTGAACATCACAAACATGCCAGGCATCCAAAAGTATGGATTACAATCAAATCTTCTCTCGTTCAGCTCCGACATGTTCGCAGAAATTCCACTCGGTGCGTGCCGGCGCTCTGTTTGCTTAAAGCCAATTTTTGATCATTAATTTGCTCGAATGTTGTGTGCCAAAGTCTTTGTTTGCTTTACTCCTCCGTATAGACCACGCTGAATCACAATTAAAAAGGTACAAATATTTACTTAGAGAGATAATTATATGTTGGCGAAAGCTCAAAGTTACCTGCAGGCCTTCCAACATACGGCATGTGTGTTTATGTTGGGCGGGGAACAGAGCCACAGCTGATGGTGGCGAGCTAAACGTTTTTCAGATGGGTGGAGGAGAGTTCGGCTAATATTTAGTGCTTCGTTTGGGAAAATGGTGAAAGTGACAAATTTATGTATTTTACTGGAATACACTTTAAAGTTAGAAGCATTCATATAAACACTGATTGGAATCCACACGAACACACACCAGTAGAGCAGCAGCCTTCATCAGTGTCTGCACGTGATGCATACTGAGAAAATCAATCTGCAATCTCTAAAACATCCCATCTACACAAAGAAAGATTAAGAAAATATCCAGAATTTTGAGTTAACTCCTTATTTTTAAGTTGTTCAGGAGATGCGTCTGTCAGATCAGCGTATAAAACGATTTTACAAATTAAACCTGTATAGTTAAAAAGCTTCCCAGGTGTCTCCCTCTTCTTATATTTTAATTCATGCCAACTGCCTGGATGACTTTATGCCGTTTGGTGACTTTAGAACGAAGGCAGAAGAATTCTCTGATTTAAAAATGACAAGCAGTGATTTGGTAAATATCTGCCAAAATATTGCACAAGTATTATTCCTGTAAACATCCTGTCCTGTCCAATAAAGCCACGAGGACACAATGGACAGCCGTGTGTGGACGACAGAAAGCCTTCAGTGTGACAGATACATGAAGCCCCAGTGCTCCATATTCCTTCTCTGAAAACGGCTGTTGGGGAAAAAAAAAGAAAAAGAATTCAGGTCTGATTATGTGACATTCTTAAATAAAATTTGCCGCTTAAACAAAAAGAGAAAATCATCTCACACCCGGCGCTAACAGTCAAAGCCTCTTTCTGTTCCCCGTCAGTAATCCAGTTAGTTGTTGGACCACACTGTGTGGCTACTCTACCTAATACCCACCTATCTAGTTAGCCAGATTCTCCTCCCTATTGTTTCAGGCCTGAGAATCCCCTCTGAGAAAGCCTGTTACACTTCAAATGTTATCCTAAAGGCTAGCAAACAGGCAGTTTGGCAGGATAAGAAAGCCTTTTTGAGAATCCTCATTATTTTCAAGGTGAGACAAGAAGCAAACTTAGTTTGAATGTCAGTGCTAGTCAGTCCGCCTTTCCCCACAGCGCTGTGAAGAAACCTGCGCTACTGATTTAGCATGCTCCTCTGCGCTGCTTCTGAATTTTCAGCAGGAGACACAGAGCAGTCCATGATTTACATCAACTGGGGAGCTGTTTGAAATGAGAGCGAGCTACCTCAGCTCCTGTTAACGTGTCCGCCTCTGTCCTCACAGATTCCACAGTGAGCTGACCAGGGGGGTCTCTCCTGACTGGAGGGTCACCATCGTGTGGCACTGGCACTGGACGCTGGTCCAGTGAAGGCCCAGTGAAGGCACGCCGTTTGTTCAGGCCATTTGTCACGAGGACACAGGAAACTAGCAATCTGCTGAAGTTACACTCCTACGAAAGACGACATTCAAAGTGAGCAAAAGTTTGGAGAACTGAATGTTGAACACTTGAAATGGGACCCACAGCACTGAAGCTGTCACACCGCAAGACCTCAGAACTTTACATGCAGTATGTAAATGACCCGACTGTGCTGCTCCACTGTCCCGTATGCCTTAGAAGCCCGACTCCAGTGATTTCACACCACTGTCAGACTTGACGTAGCACCTGATGCTGTTTTTAGTTGTGATCTAACAATCACAGCACAACTCCTTTTGTTTGTATTTGCGCCTCATCACATCTCGTTTGGATCTTCAATCGACCACTCGTGCTTTTAATTAACGTCCACACAGGAACATATGAACAGAGCTGTGAAATCACTGGAGGGAGACTTTTAAACTCTCTCTCAGTGAAGTGTGTTGCCAAAAAAAGTCTAAGTCCGTATGCTAGCCTTTTCTCCAGCTTTCCGCCACATTTCTCATTAAATGCAGTTTTCTCAGTTGTCATGGCGATGGCTCAGTTGGCATCACGTGACCAATAGTGAGCGTGAAACTCGTGTCATGTGCCAACTAGGGATGCACAAAGTTGGATTTTTGCCAATCTGTCGATATTTTCCAACTCATTCTGGCTGATTGCTGATAGATGCACATATTTTTTCCACCTAATTGCAGAGAACATCAGGTCTCTCCTGCAGTGGAATTAACATATTATTATGCCGACTCCTGATGGCCCACTGTCAGGCGCAGGCTTGATGCTTTTCAAGTGTTTACATTCACCGGGCAAAGTAAGAAAACTGCTTCAGCTCGCATGTAAAGTATGCCGTACTCGCTTCTACAGGCTGATGTTGAGATTTCATTTTAAAGCCTTTACTGGCTGATACCAAAGATGATGCAGATGTCATCGTGCCTCCTTAGTGCTCACAGATGTCACCTGAGTCATCGTCATGACAACTGAGTAACGACTGTGTCATAAAAAAGGCTGAGATGAGGCTCAAGGCTCACAGAAAAGCTCATAAATGGACCTCAAGTTAAGATTTTTTTGTCAAACCACTGTTTCCAAGGTCAGGAATGACGCTCAGGTCTGCTGAGTTTGTTACACTAATGTACTGCTTCAATAAATTGCTTCTTGCAGCAGTTTATACCCTTGAATCTTTATTGTGCTCCCTTATGAGTGCCTCGGGGCAGTTTCTGACCCCGACATCAACAATCTGATGTAGCAGCTGAGCCTGGATCAGCCTTCAGGGTGAAAGGGGAGCATTCAAGTCTGTTTACAGATCTCGATGATTATTACTGCGAATGAAAAAAGCTGCAAAGCCTTTAAAGCTGTGAGTTAAAAAGAAGTAAGTCTGCTCCTTGCAGCTTGAGGCTTCATCAGGATCTCGCAGCAGACCCCTCAAAATATCTCAACTGTTAGTGGTCAAGATGCATTGTGGGTAATCCATCCATCCATTATCTCTACACCGCTTCATCCTCACCAGGGTCATGGGGGGCTGGAGTCTATCCCAGCTGACTCAGGGTGAAGGCAGGTTCACCTGGACAGGTAACCAGTCTATCACAGGGCTACACTTAGAGACAGACAACCAAGCACACTCACATTCACACCTACGGACAATTTACAATCACCAATTAACCTCAGCATGTTTGTGGACTGTGGGAGGAAGCCGGAGAACCCGGAGAGAACCCACGCTGCACGGGGAGAACATGGAGACTCCACGCAGGAAGATCCCGGGTGTCCTCACTGGGACACGAACCAGCGACCGTCTAGCTGCGAGGCGACTGTGCTAACCACTGCGCCACCATACAGCCCATTGTGGGGAGCGTAAAAGGAAAAAAGGCTTCGATGCATTCTTGTTTTAAAAGTCCCACGTTTGTGAAGCACACTGTAAAGTTCTTGTACTTCACAGCAGTTGTTCACATGAGTGAGTAGAATAGAAAGTACAAGAGGACAAAATGGATTCTGTACATCAGTAGTCTGTATTTAATACCAGAGTTCTGGTTCTGATAAAAAAGCAACAGGCAACACAATCCATTTTCCACAGCAAGGAGGAAGAGATGTATGTTCACGTATGTAGCCGACTGTGTGAGGAGCTACTTTATGGGCCAACAACAGAGCAGAACACAAGACTTACAGCAAGTTAAAATAGTTATAATACGACGGCATTGCTGCGAGCAAGAATGACTAATTCTGCCAGAAAATCCTCCACCTTAGCTCATGTCGGTGGCCACTGCCAGGAATGTGTCACTTGTCAAAGGCATCACATGTGACAGGCTCATGAATGTAGCATGTCATCCCATTCTGTTAAAGCCTGCTGCAATATTATTAATGTTGACAACATATCTGACAAACAGAGAGGATTCTGTCATTAGCGGCCGCTAATTCATGCATAATGAAACACGCTGAGGATTATTCTAATTTTTCCTGCATAGTAATATGCAGGATCTGAGGAAGTTTGCGTGGGGGTTTTTGGTTCCAGTTGAGCATCTCACGGAGTCATAATGAGATTAAATGAGTGCGGTTAGCTTAGCACATGTCAATATGCTCGTGGATATGGTGAGAGCACATTAAACAATTAACCACGCCTGTGCATCACTCAGTTTAATGGAAATTAACAAGAAAATAAAAACAAGTGGTGAATATACAAAAGCTAATTTTTTTTCTATTAGTTATCTTATTGTTTTGTGTGCGTTCTGATGTGCGGATCAGTTGATGAGCATGCCAACCTGTGTCATTAATCTGGTTAGCGAAACAGATTGCAAACAATTCCTCATGCCTTCTCAAGTGTTTGCATGTCTGCACGTGTCTAAGCTGCAGCGCGGCAGAAATTCATTGTGTTATCTCTGTCAGACTCTCATTTTAAGGTTGATTAATAGAATTATAAAGATAAATATGCTTGGAAATCAAACCTAATATTATGACAGAACAAATAATAAGGTACAGAGAACGCACCTCTCAGTATTTACTCGGGTCTTTTTTTACCGTCATAGAAACAGTCACACAGGCTGTTTGTTAAGTCCAAAGCAATCAATTGAAGCTTTAACACTGTTTCACAGCAGCTTAGGTGAACTAACAAAAGATGGCATGTTGCTTTCAACGAGACAGATGAAATGTTGACATGGCAAATCAGCCGTTTCCATGTGTGAAATTCTATTTTTAAATTTAATAGAAAAATTGATTCACGTAAACAGACAAAGCAGGGATAAAACACACGTTGTCTGACGTGTTTATCTCAGTGGTCCTGTTATTATAATGACTGCTGATTACTGGTGATGGACGACAGCAGCTACACACAAAGTCTGGAAAACGCTTTATGTTGTTTGTAACAAAGAGATAAAATCTAAACAAAGAATATATTAAACGCAATGAAACTGAACGTCAGTATAAATGTTGATATACTGTTCAGTGAAATGACTGTTTTTGTGTATTTTCAGACAACTCTCCATTGTGCATTACTCTTGTTATACTGACAGGGAACTACTGTCAGTATTCAGGCAAGAACAAAGTCGACTGTAAGTCACAGCAAGTTCTAACTGAGAAAATCCCCCAAAATCTGTGATGTTTGTCGCCGCCAAAAAAAAAAAAAAAAACATACACCTGTGTATTCTCTTTGAGGAAGCCTCAGAGGCCCTGAAGGCAACAAAACATATAGGTATGTATTAATTGGTGCAATATGCGCTCTGTGATGCACTAATGGCTACTTTGAACGCTGCATGTAAACCAAAATCAGATAAGTTGTTTGTTGCGGTTCCCAGTGATGCAAACAGAGCTTCAAAGAACATCTCAGCTCGTATCATCGCGTACGACCGGCTTGATGAAGCAAGAAATGATTCCATATATTGAAAAATACGAAGCAGGTGCTGCACGCCTGTAAACATGACCTTCTTTTGAAAGGGTCCTCTGCCTGAAAATGCTGCCGGGCTTTCAGCAAATTCAGACTCTAAAAAGTCAGTCTTACAAATAGGTCAGATATGAAAGGGGGTTCATTTTCTTTTTTAAAAAGTTTCTGGAGCGTGTCTTTCCTATAGATACTGTTTTTAAAAAGAGGGTTATTTTTGTTAAATTGATTAAATTGAAATTTTTTTCTCTGTATTTATATCAATGCAGAGATATGAATCACTTTCAAGAAAGCCAAGCCGAATGCTGACTTTGTTCATTCAGATCTCGAGCAGCTCACTCCTACATTCATATAAACAATGTAATGACAAAACGCTGCTCCTCCAGATGTATTGTATTTCCCCACTTTCAAAGACAAAATACAAACAGCTTGTGATTTACTTTTTGTTTTTTTTGTTCAAAAGGCTTTACCTGACGAAGAGGTGCCTGGAAAAAAAAAAAAAAAGTAGTGTTGCATTATGGGTGTCAAGTGAAAACTTCATAATGAATGTTTACTCAGATGAATGTTCACTCCTCCTACATGGGTTGAATCCATTTTCCTTCATTTGGTAAAAACGCTCTCCCGTCAAATTAAAACATGTTGGAGGTGCAAAGTTTCCACCAGCCTCCAGATATATCGCCAGATGGAAAACTGATGAGCAAAATCTGTACAAAATCTGTATTACATCCCTTTTATTTCCTCGAGTACGTTACGAAAGACCTCGACACAAACCTCCCCGTTCGGTCGCTTCGTGGACGCCAGCCTCCAGGCCTCCTCAAACGTCTCCTCGGAAATGTCCACACCAACGTTCCTGAAGATCTCTGCAATCTGCCACAAAGAGGTTTAAAGCAGTCATTAGTGAGACAGATTTCTGACTTATTTGTTCATTCGTTTATTATTTTAATGCAGTGAACCGACACTGCAGCAGCATCATGACTTTGATGAACACAGAACTGAGTGAATCTGAAATAGGCTGCTGATGGAAAAGTTCATTTAACTTTTCCTGGAATAAATGTTGAAAAAAAACAAAAAACTAAAACAAAACATGAACATCTGCTGGTAAATGGTAATTCAAACAACACATAATCAACAAATAGAAACAATTAGGAGATAGATAGACAGAGATCACACAGAAGGCACATCCAATTGAACAAAACAAAGTCTCACACTGGATTTCCATTTTTGTCACAAGCAGCCTCGATTATTTAAAAAACAAAAAGCCTGAGTGATAATTTCAGTGGAGTCTTAGGAGTTAAGTTGAGCATGTGATAGAAGGCCGAGCAGGAAGGACCGTCGACTATCTGGACTTGTTGTGTTGTCCAAATCATTGCTGCAATAGAAGCAGACTGAAGGCTCAGACAGATAATGTGATTGTTCAAACATAAATGTGCTTTAAAACAATAAAGATTGCCGAGTTGATTTTAGGTGACAGATCCAGAGTCTCGCCTTGAATAACGGCACATCTAAGTAAAACAGATTCGAACAAGATTATTAGCAACACCTGTGCTTCCCTCCTTTGACAGACTGCTATTTTATCAACATCTGTCTCATTTGGTTTTCAAAAAAACTCCACTTGGTCAGTAATAACAATCCAGTCTTTCACATCAGAAACAGCCAGTGATGTGAAATATTTCCCAAAGGCAGCCAGTCAGGTGTCATGTTGTGTAGAAGGTACCTCCTGCTTGGTGCGAGGACAGAAGAAGTGTTCCTCATAAACACCTCGGACAGCGTGAACCGATGGATACAGAAGATTCGCAGCCGTAGACGCGTCGCCGTAGTTATTCGTGTCGCTGACTCTTTTGATGCGTGGAGCTGGGAGGTCCGAGCGCACGGACGGGATCCCGTAGGTGCGGCCACCTGTGTGAATGAAATGAAAGAATGAAAATGAATGAATGAAAAATACTTTATTCATCCCAGAAGGGAAATTCAATCTTTCAATTTTCAAATTTTCAAATTCAAAAATTCAAATTCAAATTCAATCAGAAGGGAGGCCAGACGGACGCAGAAGATGGAAGTTAATGAAAACTATACAAGTTAAACAACAGCTTATTAAAACTTCAGTGTGTTGGTCGACAAACATCTCCTCAAACGTGTAAAAACATTTAGGGGTAACAGTGTTTTTAGTTTACTGTGAGACAAAGCAGGTGAGAAGCCTCCTTGTCCCTGAACACCTCCATTCAACACATGACAGTGTTGTTGTCTTTATGTTGCTTTAGTTTAACCATGCTAGCGTAACACAGCAGCACCTGCTTCTGTTCGTGTACAACCATCATATGGGGGATTAAACACGCAGTCATTAACTAGTTTCCTTTATTAAGTTACTATAAAACTCTGTAAAGCTACAGGTCATATGTGGTTTAATTTCTGTCTAATTCCTTTGCTGTGACTCACCATGCAGGACTCGTGTTTGGGGAGGGAACCGACCAGCACTTCCTGGATTTCTGGGATTGGTCGTGTCACAGTGACATCACTGGGCCAGACCAAGTGGAGGTTTGTTTTTTTTTTGATGACTGTTTCTTTTGTATTAAAAGGCATCATTTAGTCGGGACTTCAAATGTTTAACTGTAAGGGAGACATTTAGAAACGCCAACGAGTTTGTCGTGTGGACAGTGATGTTGTTTGTGGTTTTGTTTGTGTCGGGGTTACAGAGTAGGTCCCCGTGTTGTTTGATGGTCGGGCTGAAGTGGTGAAGGTTGGAATTGAGCATCATATATAAAGGATAGAGAGTTCCCTCTATAGAGAGCTGAGGCCGTGCTACCGAAATGCACTTTTTTTTTGAGTAGCAATCAGTGAGTTTTGAAATTATTTTTCCTCATTAATTATTTTCTTGTATTGTTTTGTCACTTTAAGTTTCATACTAATGGAGAAGCACTGTAAAATAAGACCTTCACCTCTTTTATACGAGTCTGCTGAGTGTGTTTGCCGACCACCTTCCTTGACCTCTCGGCCAGACTACAGAGACAAAAGACCATCTTCTCAGTAGAAACTAAGCCATAGTTCTAAATGAATTAATAAATTGTTTTAAATTGTGTCACGACTGTGTCAGAGATTTGTGATTGAAAAGGGAGTGTCTGCATGTACTGTGCATTGTTTTTGGTAATGACAGTAGCTCCTGGCAGCAGGTGGTACTTGTGTTTTACCAGCATGTCGTCTGGTATTTAACCCTTGGATGACCCGTCTGCCCTCTCTCCTGTACGGTGCTCATGTTGGTACCAACTGAGCGATGCTGCCACCTACGAATCCCACTTGATGTCACTTGGCCCTCACGTTTGTCATGACAGACCTCTCAACCAGACTTACTCGATGTAACCGGGCCATCGCTGACAGCCCCAATGAGGGACGATGAGGTCATGAAGTGGTCTGGGTCTGCCTTCGGCCGCCTCAACGTCCTGACGGTCTTCAGTGAGCTGCCTGGCTCAACGGGCTCCAGGTCCTCAGGCTTAATTAAGGCCTGCAAGGGAGGAGGCTGCGCCGGTTCTGACGAAACTTTAAGGTCTGTGTCGACTGGACCTGTGCTGGTCTGATACTCTGCAAGAGACAAAATAAAACAAAAGAACATTCCTAGAAGTGTGGCCCTACATGTAACCTCTGCATCAAGGTGAGTCACAACTGGAAAACTTCTAAGTAAGATGTTGGTGTAGTTGGTGCAACTGCAGGGTTGTAGTGAAATACTATGAAATAAACTGTCTAACTACATTTGTACTTCAGTACCTGAGAACTGACCACAGAAAATCAGCAAACATGCTTCTACAAAACCAGCGTGTAACCGATGGAGTCCAATGCCATCTACTGACCGTTCATCAGCATCTTTTGCTCTCGGCTGCTGATCGGCATCTTGTCCTTCCAGTTGAGAAAGTTAGCAAACTCCAGGAAGTTGATATGTCCGACCTTGTCTGTATCACAGTAATCCATCAGGTCATCCAGGACCGGCCCACTCACATCCAGCTGGAACTGACGGCACACTGCCAGCAGGTCCTCTTTGTCAATCATTCCCTTTCCTTTCTAGTAATTTAGATGAAACAGATGCACACAAATGCTCGACGATTAAAGTATGTGCGTTCAACCTTGGGACTGCAAAAAGGGGAATTATAGAAGCATCATCACTTTATCACCGGTCCTAACACAAGACCATCATATCTTCAGCCTTTTCTTAAACTCTGCAACTGGCCTTCCTCACTGCAGAAAATCTGACTCATAAAACACATTTTTAACTTATATGACAGGGCCTCAACAACACTCAGCTTCCATAAATGTTGTGTTCTCCTGTTTTCCTGGACATAAAAGCACATGCTGTGTTACTCTGCACAAGGACCTGCCGGCAGTGATTCCATTTGTACCTTATCATAATGCCTGAACGCCTTCAGCAAGGAGGGGAAGTTGTGAAAGTTGACCCTCTTGAGGTGGTGTATCACTGCGTTGACCAGGCTGCGCTGTCTGTCTCGGCCTCTCACGAACTCGCCTGGCTCTGTGGAGTGGAGTATATCTCCCAGACCTTTGGAGGAAGCAGGCCGATTGTTATGTGAACATCAAAGCTACCATATCCTACATATTCCAGTGTATAACATGAAGAAACATCTGTACATAAACTCTACCAAATCCATCTTGCGGCAGGAGAATTCCAAAAGTGTGATCAGGTGGAACATGCAAGGTGCTTCCTCTCCTGCAAAGATTGGTTTCATGATAAAATGAATTAAAATGTGTTAGAAAGTTAGTCAGACATCAAAGAACTGGTTTGAAGAAGTGACAAAAACGTACTTGTTATTGGCTTTGCCGATCTGTGCTGCCATCTTGTCGCTGGTCCCGGATCTCTTCCAAACAGGCGTCGGATTGTAAAACCTGTCGCAAAAATAACGAGCAGAGCTTCGAGTACATTTCTATTGTTTAGAACAGATACATACTGCATTGATGTGTAGTGTTAAGGAAATCCACAAAAAAAACAACTAGATTTTTGCCCTTTCCATGTCAGCTCTTACTTCTGTGGTTCCTCCAGCCAGTGGAGCGTTCTGGAGACATTACGTCCGTCGTTGCAGTGAGGTGTGGGGACACCGAACCGGCTGTCTTTACTGTAGTGACTACTGTCATACTTCCTATCAATCCGTTCACCTGAAGTGAAGTCGGGTAATCATATTGCAGGGAAAGGCAGACATGACATTTCAAAATAAGAAATAACGCTTAACCGACAGTGAAGGGCTGACGCATAGTATGAATTCTTCCTGTCTTCTTACCAACAAAGTAGGCATTATGGCTCCGAACGTATGCTTCATGGCTCTCCTGAGCGTCCCTCTCTATCTCCCCGGCTGTGTGTGAAGGGTTAATAAGCTCAGATGCATTCAACCCTGGATAAAAGGAATGAGAGACATTCAGAAGAGAGGAGGCCCATCGTTTCAGCAGAATGTCTCCTACTTTAACGAGACTAAACAAATATTTGCATTCTACATCACAGCATTTGTCTTTCACCAGACTTAAACCTCTTTTTTTTTTATTGTATTAGCCATCACATTATTTGATGTTATAAATACCTTTATGTGTTTTCACACCAAATGTAGTTTTGTCGTTATACCAGGGGGGAAGATCAGCGTGTTGGTCATGTGACCGGCCGAGCGGTGCTTTCCGGCTTGAGGCGTACACAGAGTCACTGAGTTCTTGCAACTTCTGTTGGAACAAAGTCTTTTTGGGAGGATTTAGCAGGTTTTCACTCTGTTGGAAACAAGTAGAGAAAGCAAAGAACTTATATCCATGTTCTGTGCAGCATCGATGGATGCTTAGCGTATTAACATATCTGTGCTACTCGCAAACAAAACCATTTTTTCTCCCCTTTTTTTTTTAATTAAAAAATTTGCTATATCAGTAATTGGTTATTATGAAAGAACCAAATAAAGACACCTGTCAGACATGGTAGGCCATATATTTGAAATGCTGTATTTAAGATGTTTTTTCTATAAATTAAATTCAGTTTTCTTGTTGGAAATTCTTAAAACAACACATGTACTTTCTATCTTAAACCTAAAATGTGTGAATATGCAATGTTGTTTTGCTTTTTAAAAGTTTGCATAGAACACAAAAAGTCTCCTACATGACTGAGACATCTCTCATTTTATATGCGCTGCAGGCTTTAGGCAACCACATCTCCTTTGCCTATTGGACCAGGAGTGGCTTCCAAACTATTGGCGATTCACGGATTATGATGACAGGTACACACCTTCAACTTGGACGGGACTGAAGTGAGTACAGAGAAACCTTCTGCCTTCAGCAAATGAATGTGAAAATTACCTTCTAGTGTCAAACTCTGAGCATACATTATTCTAAAGAGTGAAGCTCAAACAATCAAGAGAAGTAACCCCAAGCTTTTTCCTGCATACATGAATTTTTGGCACCCCAAAACGAGGCTTCAGGCAAAGAGAGTTTAGTCGGCGCCATCACCAGTGCCAAAACGATGAGAATTGAGAGTAAAAACAAAGATATTTTTAACCAGTTTTTTTTAATTGGGGTTCATTTACTCAAGAAAAACAGGCCTATTTGTTTATCAAATGTTTAGAAAATGCATGCGTTTCTGTCACAAGGCAACCCACTCTCATTGCCTTTCCTGTAAATGGATTGATCGTGTTTACCGTCGTATGTAGTCGCCACCCAAGGACCCATTTAGAGACAGGAAAACCCAGAAACCTGATCAGAACACATCATTGTGTGGCGGTGGACCACCAGCAACATCTTCACATGTCAAAAAGGCAAAGAAGTTTCGCTCCAAAATCTAAAGTTTTGTGACCCATAAATCTCAACACGAAGCAGAGCGATCAATTATTGACCGGCACTGATCTAAAAATATATCAACCCACCAGATTTAGCCTTCCCTTATTGCCCCTTTAACCCTTCAGTGAGGCAGGTGCTTATGTGGTACTCACAGTGAGGGATGGTTTGGTGCTAACGCCGTGAACGAGAGCGCTGGCAACATCTGGGTCATCTGCCCTCCCTCGGTGCACCCTGATGGCTCCTGGGGCGGGTTGGTTGCTCTGGCGGAATTTTCTTACCACCGGTGGGGTCGAGGGCTGAAAAGATTTTGATACGAGAGAACACGAAAACCTTGAAGCCGCCAGAAAGTTTTTCCTAAAATCTCACAGACAACCACAGACTGTACGGAGATAACTGGAACTGATATTGTACATGTAGGAACACAAAGATCTCAGCATTCTTTACTGTCAAATCTGTGGTGTGTTGTAGTAAATCCACATCTTTGTCTCCGGTGTGTGAAGCATGAAATTAACTGTCCCTGTAAAAAAAAAAAAGTATTTCTTGTCAAGCTGTTAATAGACGTATTACTTGTTTGTGCTATGTATCATGGCTGAACTATTTTTCGGTTTCAAACAATGCAATTTGTAAATCTCAAATTCTGCAGTTAAGGATACGTGTTACGCAGCAAATCTGGTCCAGGGTTTGAACTGATATGACGATGGTTTCACTCATTCAAACTCACATTCCTCCATGTGTTACAGTCACAGGGTGGTAGAACAGAATAATTTTTATCAATCCCTCATCTGGAGAAATTTACACACCACAGCAGCATCCAGAAATATAGAAAGAAAGTACAAGATTGTGCAATTTTGCAGTGCAAAAGTGAATGATGACCATAAACTGTTAATTTTGTTCATTTGGTTTAACACCAGCCAGTGATGCTGATGCTGTTCAGTCGTATTGCAGTCGGTAGGAACGACCTGCGGTACCTCCTTCTTGCAGGCTGGATGTCTCAGTCTGCTGCTGAAGGAGCTGCTTAAAGCCTCCACAGTCGCATTCAGCGGGTGAGAGGGGTTGTCCATGATGCAAAGCTCACATCCTCCTCTTACCCACCTCCTCTATGGAGTCCAGGGAGCAGTCCAGGACAGAACCGGACCTCCTCACCAGTCTGTTCAGTCTCTTCCTGTCCCTGTTTGTGCTCCCTCCTCCCCAGCAGACCACTGCATAGTAACCAGCAGACGCCACCACGGTGTCACAGGATGTCCTGAGCAGAGTCCTGCCCACTCCAAAGGACCTCAGTGTCCTCAGCAGGTGGAGACGACTTTGGCCCTCCTTGTACAGGACCTCTGTGCTGTTGGACCAGTCCAGTTTGTTGTTGAGGTGGACACCCAGGTATCTATAGGTCTCCACCATCTCGATGATGATGTTTCATGTGGTAAGACTCCATTATAAGTTTAAAGTATATTACATAGTGAATATTGAAATGAAGCAGGGCATAAAAACTATATCACAAATCGCAATGTCTATCAGAAAAATCGCTCACACTAAGATGTAGTCGAGCACGACGAGGCAAAAGCCTGACGCCATCCATTACTGCAACACACACAAAAGGCCATGGTGATGTGGACAGAGTGAAAACCACGTTTATATGTGAACAGTGTTTTGTAGAATGTGTGTCCTGTTATTTCCTGTTAATGTAAATGAAGTGGAGTGGTGCTGTGGAAAAGGATTTCCCCACAGGGACAATCAAGTCTAAATCTAAACCTATTTTGCAGAGCAAATAAACCCTCTATCTATGCTCATACACAGAAAACAAACAGACTTACACTTGTCACTTCTTTTAAACAGGACTCAGCCCTGTTTCCTTCAGGTATGAGTTTCCCAGCCTGGTGTAAAAAAAAGAAGAGAAAAAATACAGCATTAAGTATAAAATATTCGTGAAGACAAACTGCCTGATGGAGACAGCAGCAGTGTTAGCATGCTAGCTAGCTTTGACTCACCTTCGGTATGTTCAGGCTTCTTTCTTTTACTTGTTCCGAAAAAGTATTTCCACCAGTTATATTCATCTTTATTCACACGCAGGAGGAACAAAGACAAACTACTTATACCTTCTAATAGTTTGTGAGGAAAGTTTTAGCGTTAAACAAGTTTTATTCCTAAACGGTCCGACGCTGAGCCCGTTTGAGTTCTGTTGCTTAGCAACACCACTCATCAGTTGGACTGATCTTACCGCCACAGGCCGGAGATCCTTTTTCAGTTATATATATATAAAAATAAATAAATTAAAAGAAATAAAATGTGAGCCAACTAATGGGGTGATATGCTACGTTATTTAAAATGACGGTCAATCGGTGTTGTTTTTCTTTTTTGTGTTTTTTTTTTCTTTTCAACTCAGTAGACCTTTAAATAAATTCATTTTTTTCCTGTCTATATCCTGCAGACAGTCTTGTTAGTTTTTGTTATCGTGTCTTGTAGTTGTTTGGAAAAGCACACTCCGGTAAATTGGGAATAACTCCTAACCTATGATTGGTCCGCGGCACTGATACGCAGGCGGATTGTCAATTCCAGTCATACGATCTGTCATCATCCTTCGTACAATGCGAAAAGGGAAGTTGAAAGAAGTGGGAGAGGGAGATCGCGGAGCCTTATGAAATCTAACGTTACCGTAGCTGGCTGGGCGCTCTACACACTGTGAACAGACTCTGAAGTGCTGCAAATACTGTCCTGGAGGCACTATTCATATAACTAGGTTCCTCTTTTTGGTAGGTGAGTAGCTAATATTAGCCGTAGCTAGCTAGCTAATGGCTATCCGGAGGGCTCCTCCCGATGCGGCCGCAGCTAAACAACATTTGCTCACTGTGTTAGCCAGCCCAGTGTCTGCTAGCCGACACTGGAAGGGCCGTGCTAGTTAGCATAATAAGTTAACCTTGTAAGGCTGGTAAATGCGGACGTTCAGATCACCATCACGCCGACGGTGATCCACTTTTATCACAACAAACATCTGCACTGCCGTTTAGACCACTTATTGATAAGGCAGCTCGCTAATTCGCCGTCATGTAGCTAACGTTAGCAAGCTGTCACTAGCTGTACACACCCAAACCTGCATCATCAGAGTTTTCTCAAACGTTACATAAATGTCACGTATAATGTGTGTAAGCTTGGTGTGTACGACACTATCCAGATTGAAATTAACGTTACAAAGGCTACGTTACGCTTTATTGCAGTTAGAGGTGTGTTTTGGGCTGGACGTTTTGAACTTACGAGCTAGCTCTGTTGCTAACGCTAGCAGTTGTTACTCTGCTAATTCGAGCTAGTCAGCAACAGCATAACAGGTTATTTGTGGTTATCTGTGTGTCGTAACGCGATTTCGACGAAGTTGACGGCAATTATTTTTGGAATAATACGCTGTGTTGACTTGGTCGGGCCCACTGAGGAATGTCCAAGTTACAGAGACAATCTCTTGTTGTTATTGTCCGTTTAATATGGTTGCTGATGTTATTTACCTTTAAACTACAGACGCATTCACAGGAAACAGTACCTGTAACTTAACCCTGAACTGTTTTCCCACATATGTGCCCAGACTCGTGTCATAATCCCCTTTGTAACAGTCTGCTTAGCATAACTTGGAACCTCCCACACAAGTTGCAAGTGGGTTGTTGTTGAGATTTTTTTGCAGCCACACCAGCTGGTTTACTGTCATTTGTGGTTCCAGTTGAACTGATGCAGGTCAGATACTTTGGACCTTCTGATGCAGAAGCTCTGATGCTCTTTGTGCCACGTCGGTTACTAAAATAAAAGGCTTAATGTCAGGTGGAAGAAGGACTCTCACTGTTTGCCAAACTCCAGCACGTTTTTGCCAAACCTGTTATCGCAGTTAGTCGCTGTGGCAAGAAACCAACTATTGTTTAGAGACGGAAAAAAGTATAGCTGGTGATGTGAAGCTCTGGTTGACCTGATGTGTGACAAACTACGGGGAATTGTTTTTGAGAAAAATATTGTTAGAACAATTAAAAACTTTCTTAAAAAGGATCAATCCTAAGAAGTTTCCAAAGAATGTGCGAAACATTTTTTGTTTTTTTGGAGACTTCTTAACTTTTCATAGCTGGTTTAGACCCAGAATTCATTTCAGTTCTCGCTGTACAGCGTCGTTTCACAATCCAACTGTGCAGTAGTATAATATAGAGAGAAATCCAACAAATCCAATGAGTCACTCTGAGCAAACACCTTGGACTACAGAGGAATAGTCTGGAGTTAACAGCACACACATCTGTTTATCAGTAGTTACAACTCCAACATCATGCATGTATCACACCTTGATAAATTTAATCTTTAAATGTTTTGGAGCTGCTCATATCACAATTGGGTCATAAACTCAAAGCTACATTCTTTATGAGAAAAACAGGCCTCAGCAAACCTGTACATTTTTGTTTCATATCGAATTATATCCTGACTTTGATTTGTGAATCAATTAATTTTATCTGATAATGACAGTTTGCTTTGTTTTGTTTCTCCCGCTCAGGCGTTTTCTACGGTTTTCCTCAGTCCGTCAGCATCCGGGCCAAGAGACCAGACAGTGTGACATGGCAAGTAGAGGTGGAGCCACACGACCCAACGGGCCAAATGCAGGCAACAAGATCTGCCAGTTCAAACTTGTGCTTTTAGGAGAGTCTGCAGTGGGAAAGTCAAGTCTCGTACTTCGTTTCGTCAAGGGTCAGTTTCATGAATTCCAGGAGAGCACAATCGGAGGTACGTATCTTCCTACGGCTGTGCTGTGGCTGTTTTCCCTGTGAAATATAGATGTTACTGACATACTTTAATTCTAATTTATGTATAGCACAGTGGAATAAGCACTGAATTTCTAAAGCACCATTATAAGGGTACAAATAAATAAACTGTCACAGGAGTCATAATCCCCCCCGACAGTAAATAGATTACAAATGTGACAGTAAAATTGGCACTTGTGATGTTGGAATATAGGAAATACTACGAGGGAAACCGTGCAAAAGGTATAAAATTCATCTGAGAGGAAGGGAAATAGAGAGATGAGGTTTCGGTGCACAACTGAAGACGTGGAGTTGTACGTCCCACAGCGTCTGATAGGAACAGAGACCTGTGGGGGTAATTAGGTAAATTCCAGGACATTCACTTCTAGTTCCTGGTATGTCCGGCAGCAGCTTTCGTGAGCTTAAAGCAGTCAGCTATCATCTATTTTATCACCCTGTGCCAAATGTTCTCCTTCCTGGGAATTGAATGTTCAAATCAGACTCCATCCATTCCATTACAGAGCTATTTTCTCAGCCACCTCGGGCCAAGTAGAAAGATTTGTAAAACTTCATCTGTTCACACCTGATAATAAGGCCAAGAGCAAGGCAGAGCTACACCGAGAAGTTATAATTTACCTAAACAACAAAGCATTGCTGTCAACAAGGCTCCTCATGATAAATAAATGGGTTAAGGCCTGTATCTGAGTGAATCCCTCCTCACTTACTGATTCAGCATCAATCCAGGTTTTTGAGTGTTTAGTATGAAACACATTTGATATTACAAATGCCTCATTTGCCAGATAAGTCGACCTGAGAATCCACCTGTGAGTCACCTTCACTGAAACATGCTCAGTAGATGAAGGCTCCGTTGTGATTGGTTTCTCTGCTTTGTGCCCCTGCAGCTGCCTTCTTGACTCAGACGGTATGTTTGGACGACACAACAGTCAAGTTTGAAATCTGGGACACAGCTGGTCAGGAGCGCTACCACAGTCTGGCTCCCATGTACTACAGAGGTGCCCAGGCAGCCATTGTGGTCTATGACATAACAAATGAGGTGCGTGAGGTACCAGGTCGTCTGTGTTGTGGTCGTCACTTACCTGCGCTGTTGCTGCAGCGTGTCGCTGTCAGAGACAAGGAAGCAGAGGGGGTTTCCGTCTTGAAAGTTCTTAGCAGCGCTGGAGCTAAAAACAGAAACTTATTTTGGTATCTTGACACATTAACAGACGAATCATCGCTCGACAGCTCAGTGTTTTGTAGACAATGCTAACAGAGCTTATGTTTTGTCATTGACCCAAAGGTCGCACATCAAGACACTCAAACGTGGTTTTAATACAAAGAGGATCTTTAACCTCGACGTATTTTATATACTGAACACGATCTGCTTTTCAGAGTCTTTCATGAATACTGATAGATAGATAATTACTTCATTGGTCCTTTTACAGGAAATTACTCGTTATAGCAGCTCAAATCAAAGACAAAAACACAGACAACCCCACAAGACATTGAAGGTACACATAAAATATGAAAATATAAAACAAAAATAAGATAAATAAATAGTACCAAGTGTACAAAATGAGACTGTGAGAAAGATGGATTTTAAAAATGTATGCACGTATGTACATAAAGTGTCAAAATTACATCTAGAAACAGGTGCATGTAACGTCATGGCGACACTAAATGTGTGTGTTGAGCGGCTGCTGCATCACGACGCCGCCATTATCATCAGGAAAACTGGTGAGCAGCCTCATTGTCATTTAATTTTGTTTTTTTCTTTTTTGTTTAACCAGTAGATCATAAATGACTACTTTATAGTAAACCCCGTGTTTTGCCAGCATCAGCTGATGGTTGCTTAGTAACTTGATTCTGTACAGAGTCTCCTGGAGCCTGTCGCTGTTAACTATAGTACACAAACTCAGTGACGTTTACGGTAAAAACTCAAGACCACAATTCTAAAGTGAAAGTTCCCTCTCTTGTTGGGCCACAACCCAACGCCGTGCTGCAGGTTTGACCAGTAAAGATCCTGTCCACATCCGCTCCTCAGTCAGCCCACATGTGTAATATTTACGTCAGTTCCACGTCAGAACACCTATAATGACTTTTGATCACAAAGAGAACATTTTGGATTTGGAACCTCCACATAGTCTGTATTTTAAACTTAGCGTCCACATTTCACCGCCTTTTGTTTCACAAATACCGCCTGCATCTACAAACAGTCAGAGTAAGACAGCAGAGGATTTTGTTGGATCCCATTTACCGGAAATATAGACTTTCTCTGTGCACGACTGTGAAGTGGACACCAGGAGAGTGTGTTCTATTTGTCATGTTAGTGAGCAGATGTGTGTGTGCCCTTCTGTGTCAGTGATATCAGAAGCTAATAAAAGTGAGTCACGCAGGACGAGGAGACGCAGTAGAGCAGAATCTAATGTCAGCATTGCTATTGGATCATATCTGTGACAAAGCCAGCGGAAATTTAAAAAGGTATGAAGTCCCTTCTGACGCTTTTAGAGATATGAAGAGTAATCTAAATACTTTAAAGCCCTGAATAAAGACCAGGCGGCTAGTTCACATGTTTATGTTTTGTGCACTGTTTAACTCAGTAAACTACATCCCTGCTGCCTTCACTGAACATTTTTATTCATCTGATATTTCATCAGAAGCATCGTTTTAATAATTCTCTCTTCTCTGGGTCTCCATGAAAAGATTAGCCAAACATCACAGGAAGTTCAGTCTGTTAACCTCGTCTTTCCATCACATGGCTCTTATTGTTATTTTTACTAACCGGGTCTCCCCCTCCCTGTTCTGTTTGCCAGGAGTCATTTGTACGGGCGAAGAACTGGGTTAAAGAGCTTCAGAGACAAGCCAGTCCAAATATTGTAATAGCCCTGGCTGGGAACAAGGCCGATCTCGCAAACAAGAGAGCACTGGACTTCCAGGTTGGTTTTCTTAAAACCTTCTTAAGGATGTGAACAAAACCACAGAATTAATTTTGTTGTATGTTGAAGCGAACATAAAACATCAAAGAGACCGATCCTTTGGGTGATTTTTAATAATTGGGCAGGAAGCATCCTGTAGACGGCTTGGAATGAGATTAGTTCGCTTCCTCTGGTTTAGATTTTTTTATTTTTTTGGTCCATTCAAACTGTGAAGCACTTGGACCCATTTCAACTCATAATTTCCTGATGTTGTTTGAACTTCCATAGGATGCACAGTCGTACGCAGACGACAACAGCTTGCTCTTCATGGAAACGTCAGCAAAGACCTCTATGAACGTGAACGAGATTTTCATGGCCATCGGTAAGTGTCTCCATTATAAAACTTGTAGTGTTGTAAGAATACGATGTGAGATGTTTTACGTGTGACCTTCTAAGCGGAGGTCGTCAGTAGCTGTGTTGCAGTAGCCCTGACTCACTCGGCTGGTTCATGTTCTCTGTTGAGCAACAGTAGGAGATGAGCACCTGCCTTGTTATCGTATGATTCACCCACTGTGTGCATCGTATGATAATATCTGATGTGCTGGAAGTGACGTCGTGCGATCCCCTGCTGTGTCCCACATCAGGCAGCACCTCCCTCCAAGTCTGTATAAACAGTAATGCAGTGCAGGGCAGTTACTTCTCCTCAGCCCATTAACTTGGGTAATAACACACAAGTATTTATATCCAGATGATTATCTGTCGCTGATGAACCGGATCAATGAAAAATCACTGCAGAGTGAGACTAATTAACAGCAGGTTTAAGACCAACTGTGTGTTTTGTTAGCAGCTGCTAAAAGTTCTCTGTGTTTACGGCCGAGCTCCTACGCGTTGTCCGGCTTTATCACCAGCGCTTACTGCCTCCAGGTGATCATAACGCTTCATAATGCTGCATTTGAGCTGCACTCGTCTGAATGCGGTGAAGTGAGACCGTCTGATTTAGGAGGAGGCTTCAGGTCCCTTTAAGGACACAGAGCTGCAGCTTCTGAAAGCTTTAGCTATATTTGGTGCGAATATTTTAGGCTCTTTAACGTAATCGAGCAGATTTTTTTAAGTGTATCGTGTTGGCTCTCACTGTAGAATGTAGTTTGAGGTTTGAACAGTGTGGCCAATGCACAGTTTGTCCACCAGAGAGCGCTAGCGGGTTTGTTTTAAGCTTTTGTAGTCTGTAGTGGCCACATTAAAACCGCTGACAGGTGAAGAGAATAGCTCAGACGTGTTACAGTGGCAGCTATACACGAGACAACAGGTGAGCAGTGAGGAGTCCAGCAGCTCTTACCTGAACATGCTCCAGACCACCTTCACCCCGTGATGGCTGCGGCGTTCCCTGATGCCGGTGACCACTTCTAGCGTGACGACGCTCCGTGTGTCACTGGAAATATTCCTGAGCAACGGTTTAAGGAACATAATAAACAGCTCAAGGTGTTGACTCGGCCACCAGATTCCCCAGAACTCAACCCGGTCAAGCGTCCATGGAGGCCTTTCACGCTGAGGCTGCCTGTGTTTGGTCTCTAGATGTGACTTCAGTCCACCTGCACAGGTGTTCTCACTCCTGTCTGATTGGCCATGACTGTGTTGGTTTGATTGGCAGCTAGATGGGCTGCACTGATTTGTCAGTTAATCAACAAAAACATTAACCTGCAGTCACGTTTGAATTGTTTGTCATGTTTTAGGTAAAAGTTGTTGCTTCCAGCCGAAAGAATTTGAAGATTAGATGTTTTATAGTCGTATATAAAACAACTGCCTCTATCTCTGGGGTTTAAAATGCTGGATTTTTATTTAAAATTATCAAATTAAATGACTTCTGGCTTTGAGAAACTTTAATTCAACATTCAATGAAAAATAATTAATTATTGATGAGTATTTGAGAAAATAGCTATAAGATAATAAATCTAGACTCCAAACCGTTCTTAGTTTCATCCCTTCTCTCACACATACATTATCATCAGATTTATTTGGGTATCAAACACCTCCGCCAGCTGACGGATTTATTAGTTATCATAAATTATACCTCAGACATCCTCGTATATCCACAGAGCAACTTCTAACGCTGCTTCAGCTTACATAAATTCTCGTCATAATTAAGAAAAAGTGCGTTTAAACCCAGACTTCACCTCAGAACCTCAGACACGTTGACCGCCATCGTAGCTCAGAGCAGCTTCAGAGAAGGTGTCTGACTCAGTGGTGTATTTCTGTAGGTATACGTCAGGGATTGAGGGTGTGTCATAGATTTTTTTGCACATTTTGGGGGTCTGGATGAGTTCAGAGGACAAAATAACTTCTGTTCTGTTGGCTGACTGGGACCAGGATCCCAAAACAAGAAAACAAGACTTACTTCAAGGTTCTTTTACCTTGAAATAAGTGAAAAACTCTGCCAATAGAACAAGTGACAACTGGTAAGAATTCTTGATAAAAGATGTGATATTTAGAATATTGAGATCTTAACATTAACAGGTTATTTTAAGCTGGATGTTACCAGTATTTTCAAGCTCCATGTCTTGGACTAAGCCACAAATGCTAAAAAATGTGTATTTTTTTGACTCAAAAATAGATTTTTGCTTCAATAACTTTCAACTTCTCCATTAGATATATATTTGACTTATTGTGAGTTGTATTCTAGCAGCACTTCTCTGGATTTAAGAATGTTGTGTACTTGAAATAAGATTACAAGGATTCATGTAAGCGTTTTGAGATATAACTCCGTTTCACACTTAGCTGGAAATCCTTATTTTTAGTCACGTTATGGCAGCATTTAGAGGTGTTGTGTTTAGGATGAGATATTTGCTTGTTTTTCGTGTCATAAAGAACATTTTTCTGAGTCAAACATCGGCTTTACTTTTAAATGAACCTCGGTGTAATCATCTAATCTTTCTCGTGACTCGCTCCTGATTCCGTCTCCTTGTCGCTGCAGCAAAGAAGCTACCCAAGAACGAGCCTCAAGCTGCCGGCGCCAGCAGCGGACGGAACCGGGGCGTGGACCTGACAGAGACGGCTCAGCCCACCAGCCGCCCCTGCTGCAGTAACTAACCCAGCTCTTCCTGCTCATCCTCCCCACACACACCTCCCGCCCTCCTCTGCTCCCCCCTCTCTCTCTCAACTGAACAACATGTGGACGTCGGGCTCCTCGGCCTCCTGACGTCAGCCCCGACCTTCCACCTCCCTCCCCTGGAATAGCTAAAGACTCTGTATAGCTGCATTTCTAATACCTTTTTTGTTGATGTTCTTTTTTTTTTTTTTTTTTTTTTTTTTAAAAACTTTTTTTAAGAAGTGTATATCAGTATAATGGATGCATGTATCACTACAACGCCTAAACAAAAAACACACATTTTTATCTCTTATTCAGTTGGAAGACTAACCCCGATCTAAGAAAGAAGAGCGAGCGAGAAACCCCGTGAACGTGTGATTGTGTTTTGTGTGGAAAAAAAGTGGTTTGCTGACGAGAAGGTGTAGCCTCGTTTGTCGCTGGGCAGGGTTGACTGGACGTCGCCTCTGTTAGTCGTCGGGTTGCATTTCGCTCACAATAAGAAGAAAACACCAAATTGTTCCCATCTCGAGATGCCGGACTTCTCTTTGCTGTGAGCTGCTGGTGTGCGAAGACGGAGCCAGGAAAGGGTTTCCGTGTGGACGAAGATCCCCTCCATCCCTCCCTCCCTCCTCACATCTGTTACACAAGAAGACGTGTTCATCCAAGGCTCCTGATGGAAAAGTGTAGAAAATAAATTTGGTACTGTCCAGTTTTATAGAGTATAGAAGAAAAACAACCTTGAAACACATCTGGCTCCCCGTCATGTGCAGCCATCTGCGTGACGCCGCCGTGCTGCACGGCAAAGTCTGGAAAACGTTGAGGAACATGAGGAAGCAGCACCTTCAGGCCCACGTAAGGCTGCTAGGACAGGATTTTTTAAAATTTGGCTCGGCTATTTAAAGAATGCTCTCGAGTTGCAGTGTCATCGCAGGAAAAGAAAACCAGAAGACTGTAGAAGGTCCTGCTCTTGCAAAGACTCCAACATAGTTGTGTGTTAAACTGTTGACCTGCTGTTTCCCTTCAGGCCAGCAGTCGACCGGTGATGAGGAGGGCTGGGTTGTTCTTAGAATAGTGTCCAGACAGCACACAAACAGAAAATTGGACTACTAGCCATTGTCACAAGTCTGTGGGAAAAAAAAAAAGAAAATATACTCTAATGTTGTTCTAGGGTGCAATGTCGCAATGTCGTCTTCTTCTTCTTCTTCTTGTTCTTCTTCTTCTTCTTCCTTTAGTACAGCTTGCAGAGCTCACGAGCTCACCAGGAAATTTATCTAGAGATTCCGAACAATTGTACAGTTCAACATAGGGTCTGCTTTTTTTTTTATTTTTATTATTTTATTTTATTTTATTTTTGATTTTCATTCTAGACCTTGTCACAAACTGGTCAAATGTTAAGCAGTGGTGGTCTTTTAGGTATATGTAGTGTTATTAACAAAAAACCCTCTCTGGTGTCTTGTTACTTTTCTCAGAAATGGTCCATAGTCGTGTTTGAAAGGAACTTTTATTGCATTGCACAGTGTTGATCATGTTTTAATTATTGATGACTGCCCTTCGATTTTATATGACGGACTGTATTGGACTTGCTAACCTACGGCTATAAGCAGGTAGCATAATTAACCTAACTGGTGGTCTCTTCTTACAGCTCAATGAATTTTAATGGTGTAAAACAGCATTACTAGTGATGGGCTGGTCAGTTTTGAGTGTCTGAATACAACTTAATAAATCCAATAAAGAGGTCTCTGGTACGCCTTTTTGCTCTGAGTGTGTCGCTGCTTCGGTGACGTTCTGCGATGAAGCGTTTATGTTCCACGTTACTTACTGAATTAATCGATTTCAGTCTGAGCTTGATTGTAAATTCCTGATTACTGGAACCAAAACGACTATTTCATTCTCGCCAGCAGCTCTGTGGGGCTGCGTGAAGGCACCATGTATACATGCTGATCCTTATCTGGTGATGGTATCTCTCACACCATCACATTGTCTGCTGATTAGAAGTAAACAAAAGGCTGAGCTGAAGCTGCTGGCATCAGATTTGCAGGTATTTTGGTCAAACACGTTACATGAAGCAGAAATATGCTGTAAACTGAGCATGCAGATGGAATTAAAATTATACATTTTTATTGTCATAGGGTTACATTTATGGGCCACTTTATTGTCAACACAAAATACAGCAAATGCCTTTTTCCCCTACGTTAAAAACAACAGATGGAATTGATAAATATGACATGCAAGGTGTCTCGGCGGTTAGCATCGTTGCCTCGCAGCCAGAAAGTCGCAGGTTCGCATCCCGGTGAGGACACCCGGGATCTTTCTGCGTGGAGTCTCCATGTTCTCCCCGTGCAGCGTGGGTTCTCTCCGGGTTCTCCGGCTTCCTCCCACAGTCCACAAACATGCTGAGGTTAATTGGTGATTGTAAATTGTCCGTAGGTGTGAATGTGAGTGTGCTTGGTTGTCTGTCTCTAAGTGTAGCCCTGTGATAGACTGGTTACCTGTCCAGGTGAACCTGTCTTCAGCCTGAGTCAGCTGGGATAGACTCCGCCCACCACCACCCTGGTGAGGATTAAGGTGTAGAGATGATGGATGGATGAAGGTAGTGTGTGAAATGTTTAAAGTGCAGCGTTTGGGATTTAGTGGCATCTAGTGGTGAAGCTGCAGATTACAACCATCTGAACATCACTGGTCTCACTTTGAAAGAGTGCAGAAGAACCCGTGATGGCTGATCTGGGCTCCTACAGAGGCTTGGCGGTGCAAACATGGTGAGCTCCGTGGAGCAGGACCTGCAAGGAGTCATTATAAGGCAGTGTGGAGTTTGCATGCTCTACTTCTTTGCAGGTGCTCCACCTTCCTCCCTCAGCTCAGAGACGGGTTAACTGGTGATTCTAACTTGGCTGCAGTTTTGAATGTGAGTGTGCAGGTCGTGGGTCTTTTAGTGTAAAGCCAGTATAGCCACTGGAAGGACTGGTTTCTGTTAAGACATCTGCATCCTCAACACTGGGATTTAAGGAAAGTGCTTCATTATGTTTTACTCAAAACTGCAAATGTGATTTTATAAAAGTCTAAATCTTTAGGTTTTGAGTATATTTGGACTCTTAATTGGACAAGAATAAAGCAAAGACTGATAGAAGTGAATGCAGCAGAGGCACTGAGGTCCTGTGATCATCCAGGTCTGGGTCAAGCTTCAGAATCAAACCTCAAGCGTTCAGTCCTGCAGTTTGTTTAATCCCACTCGATAGCTTTGTCTTGATAACCCCTCGTCGTAACGCACGTCTTTCAATCCCAACTCCCCCAATTTTGCGGCAGAGACTTTGTTTTTAAAGGTTGTGTTTTAGTACGAACCATCCGGCCAAATTCTCCAATTTCTCACTTGAGCTCTGCTGTCAGCAGTTTCTGTATATTTCCATCTTCTGCCTCCTCGCTCTCTGCTCTTGGCCCGACGCCACCGCGACACTTCACACGCTCCCCATCCTCCGAGTCCACATCTGATGAGTCTTCTGGACTCTCAATCCGCCTGATCGCATATTTGGCCAAGACTCAAATCACAGTTCTCACAAGCTCATTAACAGCTTGTTCATCCGGCGCCGTCCACACACCACTGGAGTGGAGAGGCGGTAGACGGAGAGAGGCTGCACAGCAAACGGATAAATAACCAATTAAACTCGTGGCCAAAGTAGCGAAAAACCTCTTGTAGCCTCGATGATGTCCCTCAACCAAACCAAATCAAACATTATTTCACTCGTGTCTGGTTGTATGAAGCCGCTGGTGCTTTGCTCTCACCCCAGTAGAATGAAGCGAGGTGTTGGTTTTGGTTGAAAACGAACCCTTCAGTACGGATCAGGACTATTTCTTTCTACAAAAAGTACAATTGTTCCTCTGGATCATCCACACAGCTCTGTCAGAGGTTCTCAGAGGAACCGTCTCATCGTTTAAAGCTGCATTATTTTACTTATTAATGCTGTAAATACAATAAAGAGGCCTTCATTCGTCCCTGAATAAATGTCTTTGTCATCATAAATCATGACCTGGAAAAATAAAAAAATAATAATAATAAAACCTTCTGGAGTTTGCATCACGTCCTCATCAACAGATGGAAAGCGCTCAGCGACTCTATGACAGCTGGGCCGACTCCATGTGCTGACGAAGTCGCTGATCTGAAGATACGATGGAAATCCAAATAGCAGCAACTGGAGGGACCTTGTGGCGAGATTGTTTTCTCATTTGCTGATTTCAACGGCACAAATGAACTTTGAGCGTCATCACCGAACCTGACTGCATGAATAAACATCACCGGAGAGATTTATTTCCTGTGTTCTTCCAACACACATGATTTAATGCGATGAGTTGATCCTTTCAGGCCGATGGAAACAACCCACTGATATTTCTTGACTGTTTGAGGTCATAATTGGATTTTGGTGCATTAGAAAAAGACTTTTAGGAGAACCAATCCCAAACCTTTCAGCTCCTTGACATAGCGGTGCCAGAGGTGGTTTATAATAATCTAATGTAGGCTGGTTGCAGACGACACCAGCCAAAGTCATGTCCATGTATAAACTGTAGTCGTGAGTAAAGCAGTGAACTCACTTGTGAATTTTTACATTTTGGAACAATTGTGGTGAGAAAATGTCGTTTAAAATAGTTTTTATATTTCCTTTGATTTGTGGAGATCATCCTGTGCCTCCCAAACACCCACTCAGGGAGCCGCTGCTTTACAATATAAGGAAAGATTAACACAAACTCACTTTTGTTTCTTCACTGTTTCCCCTGAAAGATTTGTTCTACATGAATCTATGAGGTGGTCTGCGCTCCAATAAAACGCCTTTTTTCGTGTGAAGAAACACCGTAATCGGCAGCGAAGCGCTTTTTTCAGATGACTCGATGGCATTTTGCTGTCATCACAGCGGAGCCTCGTGCTGCCAGCAAAGCTTCAAACAAACGCTGGACCCAATGAGTCACCGTGTCACATCTTGCTTCGCTGGAAGAGCTGCCCGTGTGCTTTGTCCAGAAAGTTAAATCACAGGCCTTTGATGAAAAGTTCAAATGCAAAACGAACGCCGACCACAGTCCGTGATTAGAATCTTTCCAGTGGGAGATTCTACCTCCTGATCGTTCCCACTGTCAATCAGGCAGACCAGTAAGCTCTGGAAATGTAATTTCAGCCCAGTGAAATAATGTGGTTCATCCTATGGAGGGAAGATGCAATAGCTTGAATGATCCTGGACTTGATTCTCTGATGTCTGGAACTGTCTCAGCTGCTTTTGTAAGGAGAAGGGCTTCCTCTCTAATGTAATGCTGTCAGGTTCTGACCTTATGTCCAGTGTCCTGACGTGACTTATGTTGTGAAATAGAGCTATGAAAAAAAATATGAACTGAATACAAGTTGAATAGAGGAAGTCTTGAAGAGCCTGTAAACAGCTTTTACATGGAACCCACCAAACACCCCATAGAAGCTGGTCCTCCCTGAGTATTCATTCATTCAGTGGCACATCTTTTGGTTTTGACTTCCAGTCACAGAAAGCAGCTGTTTCGGCTGAGAAAGCTCTGCTAGCCAACTGCCTGTTAATTGGCTCCTACTAAATATAATAATGGTAAAGACACACTGACATTAAAACCACCTGCTCAATGTCGTGTTGGGCCTACGGTTCGGATCCATCAGGGCATGGACCCGGGTCCTCTGGAGGGTTCCTGTTGTGTCTGGCACCGGGATGCTAGCGGCAGTTTCTTTGGTCCTGTGGGTTGCAGGAATGGGGTTTCTGACTGGATCTGCCCTGACCCTTTTTGTGGTGTGGTGGGGTTTGCACTGTCCTGCTGGACCATCTGATATCTACCCATGTGGTACATGCTCAAGTAACATTCACATTAATGTCGGACCCAAGGTTTCCCAGCAGAACATTGCACTCTGATGTGATTCACTTCACCTGTTTTAATGTTGTGGCTCATTGACATTGTTTTCAGAAGCTGGTGGAAGAACAGTGATGATTGTACATACAGTCACCAGGAGGCCAGAAACACAAAGGAACTGCATGCTCTCAATCTGCTGGGTATCTATCCGGGCATTTGTTAAGTTTGCTCTTCAAACTTGGTCACAGGTGACGATACATCAGCCAGTAACTGATTAAACTCCTCACACTGAGAAAAGTTCCCATTTGTCTTTAAAGTAGCTCAGATAAACTCTGTGCCATCGCCTACTTTGGAATGTGCAGCTACATGTTTGAAATGCATGTTGGGACTGGAAGCTGATGGTACAGAAGGATAGCGACAGAGGAAGCTCCACCCTGCAAGCTGACAGGATTGGTTCCTTAGATCTGTTCCGTATGAAACCCTGGAGATCTGACTCTGTGTTACTGAGGCTGTCATCATTACACCGCAGTGTCAAGATGGAAGTGTTCAGCCACGGTGTCCACTGATTATTTCACTCATGATCTGTCGTCTAGCAAATAAACCAGCATTTGGACATGTTACCGGGGCAAAACGTCTGCCAAAGGGGATCTTAAATGCAGGTTTGTATTCCCCAGAACAGCAGGTGAACAGTTCATTTGCAACAACAGATAACTCCAGTGTTGTAGATGTTCAGAAAACTTATTTTGTTGTTGTTTGCTTGAGATAATATCAACCAAACTGAAGCTGAGTGGATCTGACTCAGTAGAAATGACAAAAACAGAGATAACTTAAGTTTGACTGACATTGTCTCAGGTAGACAATGGAGAAGTTGTGAAGGTTTGTGAAGGTGGAGTCATCTGTTTATGCAAAT